AAACATTTTAGAAAAATGTTGATTATCTGAATCCTCCTCATCATCAGGATGATCATAAAGGGCTGAATTATTGAAACGAAAGAAACTTGAATAGGATATTTTTGCTTCTTTTATAGCTCCCATTACTGGTGGAATAGCACTATCGGTGAAGGTTGTCATGATAAAGATATTATGCTCAATATCTTTTTCAAAAATTGAGAGGATTGAGTCAGAAATATATTTCTGACTTGGAGTTAATCTTGCTAATAAAGCACGAGTAACAAAACCAATCCCATGCAATGAATCCACCCCATCCCTTCCTTTCATTTCAAAAAACTCTTGTATTTGCTTGTTTTTATTCATGTAATACACACCAACACAGTGTATTGTGCTTCCTGGTATTATACCTTTCTGTTTGTCTTTTTATGTATATTGCAAAATTTAGTAGTAATTTAACAAGTGAACATGAATGTGTTTACTGTTTACTGGTCAAAATTTCTGTTTAGCTTTGCGTATGTAATTTTTAAAAACATGAGCTATAGCCTTATAGCCTTTGCTTTTTTGCAAAAATTTGCTATTTTTAAAAAATGATTATAGCTCAAAATATGTGTGTGGAGATGAGGAAACTGATTTGGAAGCCACTCCTCTTGGTTATCATGAGATTTATCTTAGCATAATATTTGCGCCACCTCCATGCGTGTATAATTATCATTGTTTTTGAACAAAAAATTGACTTAATACCAAATCTGGCTCAGCTTTGTTAACATTCTGCATTATAAGCACTATTTCATGCTTCATTGATTGTTGTAAGAAATAGTTTTACATTAATAATTATATTTAATAAAATTAATTATTATTATATTGACAAAATGGTATTGTGAGACAACAAAAAATCAATTGGGGTTATATGGTAATAATAAATTTTTAATTACAGTATTCTTATAAGCAACAAGTTCCCAATGCATGGGCACATGACTTCAGATTATGTATGTGTGGAAATGTAAAGCAAGGGAGTATAATTATGGGGATGTTTGTGTTGTGTCACTGCTACTTCAAATTATAGTTGTTTAGTTTTTTCAATGACAACACTTCTTGTAGTTTCTCGGTTTAATACTCTTTCAGAACGTCTCCTGAATCTTATCGCTATTTGTGTATTTGACTTGAGTAAAGCCTTATCTTTATCTTTAAAAAGATGCTTAAATTTACCATTAGTTTGTGCAGAAATCAACCCTCTTCGACTTTGTAGCTTTTTCTTGCAGCGCTTTTCTATCTTGTGAACTTTCTTATGCTTTTTTGCTCTCATTGTGATCTCATTCTGTACAATGCTATATGCTTCATCCTTCAAATGGTCTTGTTGAATCCTCTCTCCTTTTTCAGATATCTCTATTTCATCTGAGCTATCTTCTCCGGCCTGTTCTACTTCTCTCAGTCTCTCTGCTATTTCCATTGTATATGAAGGAGTTTCGATTGTTATTCCATTATTTTTAAGCCTTTTCATGTGTTCTTCATTGCTTAGGAATCTCATAACTTTGAGCAGGTGAACAGGAAAAATGGCATAAGTAATTAGTATGCATTTGTAGCCGATACTTTGAAGTAGCTGCTTGTTATCTTTTAGAAAAGATATCCATTCATTTAGATCTTTTTTGTTTCGGGTTTTCCACTTTTGTGAAAGACTAATAATGACAATTGGTAGTCCTACGACAGTGCCTGGGTTTAGATGAGGGTTCTCATCAAAAACCTCAATCAGTTGGTAAAAGGCAGGCTCTTCAATGAACTTACGATAGTGCTTCTCATACTCTAGTACTTCATCTTGTGCCTCTTTGTGCCTATCTCCACATATAACCTTGCTTTTTGAGAATTCTTCGAGGAGAGCATAATTGAGGTAACCGACAAAGTGATTCTCAATGAGAAAAGCAAATACTTCATCCATGCTTGTGATTCCATCAATAATTTCCTTGTAGCCATGTAACTGATAGATGCAATGGTATAGTAGTATAGCCCTTAGCTGGTTCCTGACTATTCCTACATTAGCATTTTGTGATAGATCTTGTATTAGCTCAAGGAGCCTGCGATATTTTTTTTGCAATTCAAGTGCTTGCAGTGTTGGTACTTCTGATGCTTTCTGTGCGATGAGAGCTGGAGAAGAGAGAAAGGATCATTATAATTATTCTATTGTGTGCTAATTTTATGTGTAGATCTATACCTGTACTTGAGCTCCAAGCAGGTACGAATGATGCTGCTTGCACAACTTGAGCTTCTATATTGAAAAATATTGATTATAGATTGTTCAATATATTTTGAAATTTTGTTGTTTAAATGTGATATATACCTGTTTGAGTAGTTTCTCTGGTTTTAGATGCTTCCTCCTTCACTTTTTCTTCATATTCCTGAGCCATTCTGTCCTCTCCTATTACTTTGAGTCTCAGTGCCTCAACCAGTTGATTGTGACTAGCTCCTGGTTGACCATTGAGCCAAGCACGAAACATCTGTGTTCTTTTTTCTTCTATATCTGATCTCTCTGAAGCAATGTCTTGCAGCTTTTTGTCATCAACTTTTAGGGTTAAACCCAACATGTGCCATCTGCTTGTCCTCACTATAGCACACACAGTCTTCAGATCTGGTTTACCATTCATAACTGAGAGAGGAGAGGCAGCCATTCAGCTGAGTTTTTTCAGCTGTCTTCTTTCAAATGTCGAATAACGGAGCTTCTGCGTACTTTATTATTGTAACTGATCACTTCATGCTGTAGTAATTTCCTACAACTGTAATGTAATAATTAGTATAAAATGTTTGAAGTATGTGTGGGGGTGTATGTATACTATGTACCATGTATGGTAAAGTAAATATTCTTGTGAAAACATAGTAACCTAGCCCTTCAATACTCAGCATTCTATGTTGGTTCATTGCACTGCGTTGGCTAATTCCTTTCCAAGCCATAATTTGCTTCATCATTCAGTGGTGCAGCTGTGTATTATCACATTTATTTTTATAGCTGTGCTACACTTTATTAAGAAGTGACACATTGAACTTTTTTATGAGGCATATCATTCTCATACGGGCAGATGTCATTCACTGTCACTAGTACCCTGTTTACACTAGCCTGGAACTGGTTTAAACTACTTAAGCTACTTAGTAAAGTAACTGGTTAAAGTTGTGTTTACACTAAACAAACAAAACTATAATAGGACCATTAAATAGGTAGATAAAATAAAAGAGCAGGTGGTTTTAAGAGTGTAGTTTCAGCCTACAAGCAACAATTAGTCAATTATGGTGAATCCAGCTGTCTCGAGCTGTCTTGTTAATTTTATATTTGTTTTACTTGTGTACAAAAAGAAGAAGCAGCTATCAATTGAGGCTACAGAAGTTTCAAGAATCTCAAAGAAGATGAAGCATTATTTTTCATGTTGTATTACTTTTGATGCATAGATGTTGTCGCTACATGATCAAAAGGAGCGTATGGGCATGGGTGAGAGCACAAAGGGGAGATTAGTCTCGCAGGCCAGACCCAACACCTGCGAAACTAGGGGATTTACTCTATTATCTATGGATTTAGTTAGTCTCGCGGGGCCAGACTCAATTTTTAGAATAGAGTCTGGTTTCATGTCTAACATCAACTCGTGCTTGTCTGGCGGAATTTGGTCGACCTAATCAGATCACTGTTGCCATGGTTACATTAGAATCTGCCCACGCACGGCAAGTCTAAAAGTAATAAATCCACAATATGTTGTGATGCGTGGGCGTGTTTATAGATATTAACATTCCTTGCCCACGCAAATCTAAACATTGAAAACACGAGTTGATATTAGGCGTGGCACCAGACTCTTATTTGGTAAATTAGAGTCTGGCTAGCGAGTCTAGGATTTAGCATAGATATTAGAGGTTACGTAGTCTCTAATATCTATGGATTTAGTCTCGTGTGGCCAGACCACGCCCTCCGTACAGAGGGCATGGTCTGGCCACACAAAACTAGTAGAGATTGGTGGAATTGTTAGATGTGCATTAATGATGATGATTGGAGAGAAAATTTTAGAGTTAGTAAGTCAACATTTGCAGTTTTGTGCACCGAAACTAATAACTAAATGATACTAATAATACTAGCAGCAATAAGTACAACTCTAATAATTTTGTAACTCAATATCAACACAACTAAGTATAACTGAATTCATTTTTTGTGAGGTGGTCATTGTTACCACTCCCACACACTCTTCTTATTTTCTTGGCCCTTTTTCTTATCAATTTTAGCTACTAACAAAGCTTTTTCTCAGACACCATTAAAAGATTTTACACGGTCCTGCCACCCAGGATTTTTCTGTTGTGTTTCAGATTCAATGAGTATGTCAATGTAGTCCACTTCAGTTAGTGGATTTAGCCTAAGTGCAATCTCATCAAGACGCTGTAGACTCTTACGAGCTCGATCTATGTTGCTTAGAATGGTATCTTGCATTTTCTGTAGCTCTCCTTGAATTGCTCCAACCATAGATTCATATTGGTTTTTGTCACTTTGTGCTTTATTAAAATTTTGACGTAGCTCTTCTAATGTTTGTGTTTCGTAATCATCATAAAACTCAAAGGTGTATCCATTATTGAAGTGCTTCCTCCAGGTGCAATGACCAACGCAAACAGTGCAAGTTGCATTGCTCTCATTACCAGACATTGCACTGCATCTCCATTTATCTTTATCATCAGCATAGGCACAATCGTTATGGCATGAGATGTGGCAGTTTGCGCAGTTAGTAACGTATTTGCCATGAGGAAGTGTAATCTGTCGTTGTTTGGTGACTTTTACTTTTATTGTGAAATCTTTATTTGCTAATATTTCAGATTTTTTTGCCTCAACCTCTTTCTTCACTTTATTTAATTCATCAATTTTTGCTAGTCCTGCATTTATCTGTGGTTGAATACCATTAACAATGGTTTCTAATTGCTGGTGTTCTTGCAAAACCTCTCGGGTCATCTGAAGACTTACAGCACCTTTTTGTTGAAAAGCAGTAAAGAACTCTTTTAAACTGGTATGTCCCATATCCCAAAACATTTAGTCAAATTTCACTTACCGTCGTAAAGGGCAGAATTATTAAAACGGAAAAAACCTGAATGAGGGATTTTGGCTGCTTTTACAGCTTTCATTACTGGTGGATTAGCACTATCAGCGAAGGTTGTCATGATGAGGATATTATTCTGAATATCTTTTCCAAAAATTGAAAGGATTGAGTCAGAAATGTATTTTTGAGTTGGAGTTAATCTTGCTAGTGATGTGTGAGTAACAAAACCAATCCCATGCAATGAATCCACCCCATCCTTCCTTTCATCTCAAAGAACTCTCGAATGTGCCTTGTGATTTGTTGATCTCTTTCTAGGCCACGAGTGTCACCGAACCCAGGTGTATCAATGATGGTTAAGTTGCAATTCAAAGGGGAGGCTTTTTGCCAGTAAAAGGTGTAAGCAGTGATCATTTGTGTTTGACTATGTGCCTGGCTCTGAGTTACCTCATCATGAATTAGCTTCAAGCGGAATTCATGTTCCCACTTCACTCCTAAGAAATAGTTGACCATTGCATTGATTAATGTGCTCTTCCCAGCTCCAGTAGCTCCAACAACCAGTAGTACTTTTGTTGGTTTATTACGATCAATAGGAATACCAAACTCCATTTTGGCAATATTGCCGTATCCTTTTGTAAGACGTACTGGCCTAGCTTTGATTTGATACACTACTGGTGGGCCACGTTCAATGACTTTTGAGTCAGCAATGATGTTTTGGAGCTTAATATCAACCATTGGTGATTTAGTTTGTATGATGTCACTAATCTCACTTTCTTCACTGTGACCCAAACTACCAAACTACAGTCAGCATGTACCTTGACTACATACTTTGTATCTGGCTCTAACTGGTTTAGTGTAATGGTTGTTTCTTTTTCTTTTATCACTTGATTACTCCACTTCTCTGGGGATTCACTGGTGCATTGCAGACTGACTGTGTATGAGTCAATGCTTGATGATCCATATTGAGGTGCTTTCCACTCCAGCTTTATGCTATCATGCTCTATACTAATGACTGTTGGTTTTCCTGGTCGACCAGGAGGATCAAACTCACCAGCTAACATCCCATACTCATAGTGCACTATAGCTGCTCCTTTACCCATTGTAGCATCTTCACTGCTGTCTGGGGCTATGAATGACACCTCCTTATTTCCAGCATTAATCTCACAGAAAGAAGAGAACTGCTTAATTTTATGGCGAAGGTCTTGAATTACAGCCTTTGTTTTGAACCATGGTGCAAAGGAAGCAGGTGTACTTTGATTGCTTTCTTTGTTATGTAAAAATGAATGCATGCTTTGAAGAAAAGGATCATCTTTTTTAAAGACATTGAATTCAAAGCTGAGAATATGATTGTGATCAACATTACTGACTGCAGATTCAAGATCACCAGCACCAAAAGAAAATTTTATTCCTATAAAGAATTACTTTAATAATATCTAATTGATAAATATACCTTTCACTTTCTTCAAAATGTTCAAAAACTGAGTAAAAGCCTTGATTCCTTCTTCTTTCCTTTTTATCCATTCTTTCAGGGAGCGTGCGTTAAAAGGTGATTTGTCTATGTCTTCTAATAAACTGGCTAGCACTTGCTCTTCTGCTCCTCCTCCTCTGATGGTTGGCAGTACTGCTGAGAGTTGCTTCATGAAGTCTGTCCTGTGCTCTTTGATCATTATTTGAAATTGTGACATTTGATCTTTCAAAGTGCTGAGGCAATCATAAATTTCAGTGTTGATAAGATCATTACTTCTAATTTCAATGCAATTGAGAGCATCAAATGCTTCTTGTACTTGTGTAACAAGGCCGATACTGATTTCTCTCACCATACGAGCTGCTTTGCTGTCAAGGCTATTTAACGGATACAGCGAGACCTTCTTAGGAACTGTGCTTCCTCCCTTTCCAAGGAAGTGTAATGGCAGTTCCTTGTAAACTTTTACAGCATCTTGAAAGCTCGAGGGATTGGTTTGCAGTATCAGATCACCATAGAACTTGCATTGAAACTTTTCCGTCTCCTTTTTCTCTTGATCATTGATATTTAATGCTGTGCTCCCTTTAATTTCGTTAATTCTTGGAATTGCTTTAACCAAAACTTCCATTTGTCCCTGAATATTGTGGCTATTCTCATTACTGGCCACCTCTCTGTCAAATATAAAGAATGCTTCTGCTCCAAAAAGAATTCCTGTTACTACGTGAGTGGCAATTTTCTTCTCAAATATGTCAGGATGCTGTATCTTTGACACTGCCAAGTGCTCCATTGTCAGCTGCTGAAAGTTAGTCTTGCAGTTGCATTTAAGGGTGACACGACAATGACTATCGGAAGTCTTTCTGTCATCCAGATATTTCGCTGATCCTGAAACTTCCACTAATCCAGACAACACACTCAAGGACAAGCCAGCTTCAACTCCAAGTTGAAGCATCTTGCTGGAAACACTGTCTTCTGCTGTAACTTCAAAGGAGGAACTTATTTGAGATATCTCACTAAGAGCTGCCTTGAGTACCAAGCTGTCCCACAGCGTGATTCCAGGGATGAAACTGTCATTGCGACAATCATATAACATGCCAAGTTGAAATGGACAACCGAGACATGAAAGCTCAAGTGTGGTCTTGGTTGCTGTCATAATGATGAGTGTATGGCTGAATTATTAAAGAGCAGAATATGAATTGTGCAAGCTGCTGTGTAGTAAGACTAGCAATAGACTGCTTCTTTAATATACTATAGCCTGGAAATACTGGCACACAGCAAAGAAGACAGTTTATAGTTTAGTTGGTATAGTTATGATTTGATGGGCAAGTCCCAAACCATGCACATGCCTAAATCAACCTTCTATTAATGTTGGTATTAATACTATTGTGAATCTTATGTAGATCTAACTGTAGTTTGTAGTTATCATTGCTGTTTATAAACATACTTCCCTGAGATGTATGTCATAGACAAGCACAAACATACTGAGATATTTGGTATAGACTATCTTATCTGATATTGAAAGAATATCTACCAAAGGAAGTACCAAATGATAATAATAAAATTATAGAATTTTACAGGTGTTTGTAGAGTAACTCTATTTTTTTGTCATCAAATTAGACTCAATTTAAAAATTAGGCTATAAAATTAATGTCTAAATTTATCTTTATTTGTGTTAAATAGACATTTTCGTGAAATACTTTATGTATGATGTCAGTTCACTAGCTCTAATTCATGTAATACACATCAACACAGTGTAATGTGTTTTTTGGTATACCTTTCTGTTTGTCTTTGTGTGTATATTTTTGTCTCTTATAAAATTTAGTAGTAATTATAATGATAGTGAACATCATTATGTTTACTTGTCAAACTTTCTGTGTATGTAATTTTGGAAGAAAACATGAGCTAAAGCCTCATAGCCTTTGCTTTGTCCAAAAATTTGCTAATTTAAAAAAATGGTCATAGCTCAAAATATTCAATTCAAGGACAAGGACAGCTCAAACTTTCTACAAAGCATAAGGATTATGTAAAAAATGTAATAAAATTAAAGGTCATTTTGAAAGCAAAAAATCATTAATTTTCGATTTGGAGTTTGGAGAATGAAAAGAACAAAATTTTGACAAATGAAGCATTGATTTCCCACCTGAAAGGATTTCCCACCTGAAAGACATTGTACATTCATTACAATAACTTCTCAATCTTGTGCATATACATAAATGCACTTTAGTAAACTAGTGTTAATTAGTTATTTACAATGGAAGGTGAAGAGAATCTATCTTATGAATCTCTGAAGCGAGACACTGTCAAGGAAGACAATGTGTATGAGTTTGTCGAGTTTAATCAAGCATCAGCTATTGAAGAGAAGAGATGTAAACAACCTAAGAATATAAAAAACAACAAGGAGCTAACGTGGAATAAAGCAATCATTATTATCATCATTGTGCTACTGTCACTGATAGTAATACTACAGGTTGGTATCCTTTGCTTGTTACTTGCTCATTTGTCTACAAAAAATGCAATATGTGCTGCTGGAGTTACTACTGGAGCTACAGGTAACAATGAATATCCTAACTGCACTCAATGGGTTAATGATATAGTCAATGAAGTTAACAGCAATGTAACAGGGAGCCTTCCTGACTTTAATCAATGGGCTAATGGTATTATCTCTAAAATTAATAGCAACGTAACAGGGAGCCTTCCTAGCTTTGATGAATGGGCCAATGGTCTTATCTCTAAAGTTAACGGCAATGTAACAGGGAACCTTCCTAACTTTAATGAATGGGCTAATGGTGTTGTCTCTAAAGTTAACAGCAATGTAACAGGGAGTCTTCCTGACTTCAATGAATGGGCTAATGGTGTATCACAAAATACCTTTCAGTTGTTTCAGAACAATACCAACTTCACTGAACTTGATAAACAAATCTTACAAACTACAAGAGATTCTGCAGAAAAGCTCATTAACATTATCAGTACTCTCTCTCATATACGAGACACCAGCACCTCTACTGCTGGAGTGCTTGATGATACATTTTTATTCATTATACACCTTTTACTGTTGCATAATTTTCAATTTGGTTTTTCAACATCTTGCAAACAAATCAAAAATCTATTACCTAACTCTAACAGTCCATCAGGTTATTATGTATTGGCATCAGCAAATGGATCATCTGACTATACTGCTTACTGTAATATGGAGGAGTTGTGTGGTTCAAGAGGAGGATGGACAAGACTAGCATATCTGGATATGAGTGACTCTACAGTGAACTGTCCTTCTGGGTTTAGACTGTACCAGTCAGGAGGAGTTAGAGCTTGTGGTAGAGCAACATCAAGTGTAGGTGGTTGTACATCAGTTAAGTTCCCGTCTAATGGTATCAGTTACTCTCAAGTATGTGGTAGAGTAACTGGATATCAATATGCAGCACCTAATGCCATTTATCAACCTACTTATTCTTATCGTAATGATATTGATTCTTATTATGTTGATGGTGTTAGTATCACTCGTGGATCTCCTCGTCAACATGTCTGGACACTGATGGCTGGTTTTAGTGATTCATTGTCTTCAGTACATGCATGCCCATGTAACACTGGCAATAGAGTATCAGTACAGTCTTTTATTGGTAATAACTACTTTTGTGAATCAGGGACTACTGGTAGTGTTGCATATGGTACTCTTCACACATCTGATCCACTCTGGGATGGTCAAGGTTGTCTTTCTATTGCATCACCTTGTTGTGATGTTCCTGGTATCCCATGGTTTCACAGAGACTATGGTAACACTACCACTACTGACTATATTGAGTTGAGGGTGTGTGGAGATGAGGGAACTGATTTGGAAGCAACTCCTC